CACTGCTCGTCACCAATCTCCATCTGGACATCGAGCCACTGACTACTACCCTCTGGATGTGACCATCCAACCAATTCCTCATCCACCGAACAGTCCACCCATCAAATCCCTCTCTCTCCAATTTAGAGAGAAGGATGTTGTGAGGGACCATGTCAAAGGCCTTACAGAATGAATCAGAATGATGAGTCAGAAAAAAAATGTCTCTTTGTCTATATAAAGAGTTCTGGGAAATGTAGACAAATAACCATTACCAGAAAAATCCTTCAGCTCTGCTTGTGCTCTTCATGGGTGCCCTGCTTGCCCCATCAATTAGGAATGAAAATAGTACCTGCCCTGTCACTGATTTCACAGTACTGCTCTCTAACTAGTCACTCAAGTTAATGTTCTCTCATTCCAGATTGATAATTAAGATGCTGTGTATATTTTGTCTTTGTGTGCCAAAATCAAATGCAAACTTCTGTCTCCAGCATCAGTGATTTTCTCCCTGTTTTTTCAGTTTGAAGACTCATACTGAGCAAAAGCTTGCTCTTCAGAGTTTCATGGTGTGAATCAACCACTAATGGTCTATAGGTTCCTATAGCTGTATAGATCACAGGTTGAAAGCAATTGTAATACAAACTGATCCTGTCTTTCAGTTTGGCTCAGTTCAGGTTTGTGCTGTATTTCAGACCACCAGTATCCACTTCAGGGGCCCATAAAGTTGAAGAGGATCCTTGGGATTCTTCATTCAGAGGTGTATAAATGTAAGCAAAAATTGAGAGAACTATATATTACCCATGTAAATTTTCTCTTCATAGCCTAGGCATGTTTGCCCCTTTTTATGACACTTTCCACTTACATACGTGAAGCAATGGAAAGCAAGAGAGAGATTTTTAGGGTAGACGTAATTGTATGTAATAGTCATCTCCTGAAGAAATGCATCTGGAAGGGTTACAACTTCCTCAGTCTCTTCCCAACAGAACTGCATGTGTTTGTGTTGTAAATTGTGTTAACTTTGTCTGTGTAATTTGAAAGAATTAGCTATAGGATGCTTTCAGGATTCCACGTCTCTCTCCAACATGCAATATGGTGATTTGTCTGCCCGATATTTTAACTCTGAAAAGTGCAGAATTGCTATCAGGATTGCTTATGGTGCCATAATCTGTTGAAATGAACACCTTCAGGTAATTATTCAAATACACTTACACAAAGGCCAGTGCTTCTTTCTGAAGCCTCTGAAATAGCATGTACAGCATCTTAAGGAAGTTAAACTTTTTAAATTCATGTTCTTACTCCTCACCTTAGAACAGATAGTTGTGATACAAAATGTGAATGTCTTTTAAATACCGTGATGATTTGTTTCTTTAAAGGTAAGCAGTTCTGCCTCAGGATTTTTTTCACTAGTGTGCTGCAGAGGGTTGATTTGTTATTGTTCCCACAAGATGGAGCTGTCTACATATGTATTTAGTATGGAATTTATACTACTACTACTAGTGAATCTTAGGAGCTCTGTCCAAAATACTGCTTTAGATCCCATTATTACATTTGCAGAAAACAGTACAATGTAGAACATAAAATAGTAACTATTACTTTAATAAGGCAGGGTAATCTTGTGGTTAAGGTACTGCATTGGGATATGCAGTGTTGATTTCTTCCCTCACAATTTTAAACATTTATTCCCTGTATGATTTTGAATTAAATATTGTGATAAAACCCCTGAGAATTACCAATCAGTACTTTATTATCATTAAACTGACATATAAGTAACTTTAATATTGAGAAATAATAATAAATACTGATTTTTATAACAGTGAATACTGTACTGCTTATGCTACATGGTATGTACTTGCAGCATCTGGCTGTGTTGTCTGGAATTGTTTGATAACGTTTTAAAGAGGAGTGTCCTGATCGCAAATTGTTTCCTTCCCTCAGTGTTTTAACAGCATGTCTGCCAGTGTTGGCAGATCTGAAATAGATAAAAAGGTATCAAGACAGCCATGCTGAACTGCAGGTACTGGATACCCCAAAATAGTCAGGCAATAACTAAGTCCAAAAAGACAGTGCATTGCTACCACCAAAGAAAGTTTGGTGATACTAATTCAAGTATGGAGTTCCTCTTGCACCATCTTATTACAGTCTTGTTCTCATTTTATGTATATTTAGTCTACTGTGTTTTACTGCTGTTTTCACTTACGGTTATGTTACACAACTTACAGTTGAGTACACACTGACAGATGGAAATCTCCTATCTTTGTGATAATGATACTCCTTTTTCACTTCCCTTTGAGAGCATTGGAAGGAGACCTAAACTTGGAGACTCCTTCTACACTTAAATAAAAGGCTCAAGGAAGCAGTAATAAATTGAACTTTTTTTGTGGTTCTTCCTTTAGCACCCACTGCAGTATAGATGGTGGGTCCAGCCCATTCAGAGGAAGCTCATGCATGCCTGATGTCTGTGAAGGCACTATCTGATGCTCCTGCTCCTCCTAATCTTTTTATTTTTTCTTCAGGGTCGGTACTCTGGAGGCAGGTGGATGTTCCTCTGTGCCCACTCTGTAGGTTCCAACATCTCTGACCCTTTTCTTACAGAGACAAAGCAGCACTCCTGACCGGTTTGTACTGTGTATTTTGGAGCACTACAACATCAGTTGTTGAACGTTTTTCTCATCCCTTTCCCATTTCTTAACAGGTAACAGTGATACGGTCTACATACTTCCCCCTGTGTCTTCATATGCAGAACATTAGGTTGCCTTATGAGCTCCCACTCAATGCTGACTACGTGTCTTGCGCCTGCCTTTCCTCCCAGGCAGGTTGCTGCTTCTCCCTCCAGCCAGCACCAGGTTTTGGGTGCAGGTGTTTCCAATGGCAGGAGTGGTTCACTCATGATCTTCCACCACAGCCCTTTAAACCTCAGTTGTCCTGGGCAGCCTTGAGGGATCCAGACAGGCAGTCTGACAGGAGTCTCAGGAGGAGAGACTGACTGTCACACGTTTGCTCCTTTCAGCTGTTATTTCAAACTGTGATGGTGGAGAGGTGAGGGTATTTTTCCCTTTGTGAACTTCTTCATAGGTTAACAATCTTATATTTTTTCCCCTGGTGCACTTTGGAGGAAAGAGCCTGACTTTCAGTACCATAGCCTTATTTTCCTATCACAAGCAAAAGGGGCATACTCTAGGAATATTTTATTGAATAGATTTTTCTCTGAGACTGTCTATCGCAAGCAGGTTATCAGGAATTGGCTTTCTTCCTTTGGCATGTAGGACAGTTTACTGTCCTTTCGCATTTCTCTAACTTCAGTTGCTTCTCTGAGCATATTGTCCAAGGTCAAAAGGAACTCAGAAAGGATGAAGAATCTAGTTACAAGAGTCTTTTCAATCTCTTCTATACCCTTTTCTTCCTTGAAAGGTCAAGTTCTTGTCAGACGCTCAGCTATAGGTTTGTTGAACGGGTGGTGATGACCCCAGATCTTGGCAGACCCCAGCTGTCTGGTTAGAAAAGAGGATCTTGAAGAATATGGGAAGACATACTTCTCTGAGAAGACTCGGAGGGAAGTAATTTCTCTCTATTAAGGAGTTTTAGAGGCTTTGACTCAGTGTTACTTGAGTCTTGAACTTAAGACTGTACTTCTAGAAGCAACACTGAGACCATTGGAACTTAATCGTCACCCCCCCCCCTACCCCCCCCCCAGTCTAAAGATTAAAAAAAAATTGTTTTTTAAAGCAACTTCTCCCTGTGGATTTTTGGAGAAAACTTTGTAATTATGAAAGGAAATTAGAGGCTAAAAAAAGCAACTTAAAGATTTTTGATCTCCTGATTTTTTTGAACACTTGTAGTTTGCAGTACAAACACGTTTGTATATGTATGACTATATCATCCTTGTATTGCCACTCTCGTTCCATCTGAAAAGCTGGTTCAAAAATTACCTGTCTTTGCTGTTTTTGCTGTATCAAGTTATTAATCAAATTTTGGAACTGCCTTTGCCTTACCTTTCTTGAGAGACTTCATACCTTTGATTTCCAGTACAGTTCTCTGTAATACCTCTTTTCTTGCTTCCTCTGCTAAAGTCTAAAGCTTTAAATTGCCCCTGTCTCCTTTGCTTACTCTCACGCTTGAGCATTTTTCCATGCAGCTTTCTATTTCTGATGCAAGTCAAGAAACTACGCCAGTAATTTCTCCTGGAGTCGTATTTTCTGCTTGAGTTTATAAGTGTGCTATTCAAACAATTACTAAAATAAACCATAAGACCTGATTTTAGCCATTCCTGAAAGTTAGGTCCCATTGAGGTAGCAAGCAGCCTTAGGCATGCGCATGTCATGGTTTGCTTTGGGAGACATTGAGCATGGGCAGGAGGAGGCAGGGAGCGAGGGGGATTGCCTTCTGCCAGGGGTTCGGCTGCTGCCACACAGTGCTCCAGTTGTTCTGGCTGGAAGCATCCAACCCTGATTTAGTTGGATAACTCTGATGTTAGGAATACCAGAAAAGCAAATTTGTGTGTTTGCACTTCTTTATATTTAGCAAAGAGTGGAATTTGATGGAAAAACGATCCATGCTATTTGAGGTCGTTGGGGAAACTGATTCTTTTGTACCCGTATTTGAGCATTAGGGCATAAATAACAGCCCAGTGAGGCTCAGGTCAACCATGATGTAAGTGGTTAAGCACCTGGATTAATGCCATAAGGGCTGGGTTCAGTTCTCAGTTTTGCACAATCTCTTTCTTTTAATGCTGATTTTGGTGGAGTGGATCACAAATGATGCCACCGTAACATCAAGTTTGCATGCTTTTATTTTCTTTTTGAGAGAGACATTTCAATAAAGATCCTTGCATACTATTTTTAACTGGGGGGAAAAGTAAACTTTGATTTTCTTACTTGTATTTAACAGGTCTGTATATGATGACCAACCAAATGCACATCAGAGGTTTATGGAAAAACTAGATGCCTGCATACGTAACCATGACAGGGAGATAGAAAAGATGTGTAATTTTCACCATCAGGGCTTTGTGGATGCTATTACAGAACTTCTTAAAGTTAGGGCTGATGCAGAAAAATTAAAGGTAAGGAAATAGTTTTTCAGAGTTTCATATTCATTGTCTTTGAATTTAAAAGAAGGAACTTGACTGTTTTACTGAAGAATAAGAATTTAGTGATTATCTCATACACTCTGATGTTTGCAACAATTTTTTAAAAGTAGATTATTTAGGATTTGTGTTAGAGCTGTGTTGCCTGATCCAGTCATTTACATTTAGAAAGCTGAATATTTTATTAAGTATAATTCTTTTTTTTTTTAATGTATGTTTTCAGAAAATGTTACCAAAATTATTTTGCCCTTTTTAAAGGTTTTCTCAGAATGTAAAGAACAACAAATGGTAAAAACAATATTTCTTACTGTCTTTTTCTAATCATGTGTTTATATGTCAGACCTTAGAAAAATATTAAAATCTTTATTAGAAAAGTAAAAGTACTGCAATTATGCATGAAAAATAAATTTTCTTTATTCTGTAATGATTAGGAGAATAGGTGGAGTTAGTAGTTTTCATTAGAAATGGGAACTAAGATTTACTCCAAGTCAGAACACAGAATAGTGAATTATGAGATCCATCCCTTTTAGCTCTCTTTACACTTTTGAGAGCAAAATATGCACACCAGACAGAATGAGCATAGTTCATCAGAGGTTATGATTAGAAGAGCATTATATAAAGGATATTCAGATAACAAGAGACCAAATACAGCGTCAATGAGGTCATTGAGCATCTTTGTTCAGAAATTAATGAGATTTTTAATAAACTAGAATGTGCTTCCTTATTACGATGACCTAATGAGTCACTTACTATGTGGGAAAATCTGAGGTCGAGCTTTGCCTGCACCTGCAGCATTAAAATGTTGCTGTGGTTTGGAGATTTCCACGTTTGATGTTAATCAACCACCCAGTGTTTGCATTCAGCAAAGTATGAATGTTTAATTACCATAAAATGCAATCACCATTTCTTACAGACAATGAATGGCCCATAGAGCTCATTGAGGTTATCAAAAAGGGACCAGTGGTCAATTGGGTCAATGATTTGAATTGTTTGACAGACCTACAGAAACAAGGAAAGTTCAAAAATCCCAAGTAAATTTGAGAAGTTTGCCACAGGATCTGTTAGAAAGAACTGTCATAAGTAATTGAAGTTAACAAAAGCCCTTTGCGATCAAAAGTTCAAGTTCAAGCTGTAGAGTTAATTTGAATTTGCATTTCTTTGTTCTAAGTTTCTCATGAAGCATGATCTGATTACAAGGGTGAGCAGTCACATCAGGGCAATATATGCATATTTGTCTAACAAAGGTGAAATTATTTTTAAGGTCCAAGTTACTGATACCAACCGAAGGCTTCAAGATGCTGGGAAAGAGGTGAGAAAATGGTGCTTCCTATATGGGCATTATGACTATTTGTAGCAAATTAGATTTATTTGCATAATGTATTTTATTTTCTTTCTTCTTTTCTTGTTTTTTAAAAATCACTTTTAAGGTCATAGCTCAAACAGAGGAAATCATCCGATGTAGAGTTCAGCAACGGAATATTACAACAGTTGTGGAAAAACTACAGTTGTGTCTTCCAGGTGAGTGACCTGTAGCTAAATATGATGGCAAATTAAATAAAGTAAGTCACAATAATCAAGTGGAAGATAATTTTATTTTTTAGGTTGTGGTCCTGTAACATCCAGTTTAACAAAAAAAATTAATGGGTTTTAAAAAGATGTCAACATGTAGGTTCCATGTCTTTTAAAATATTTGATGTAGAGCAATTATGCCACTTCGTGAGAAGACAGTGAGACAGATCTAAATGATGCAAACAATGTAACCACATACAGCTTTAAATTAAGTAATATTTTTGATATATAAACAATGAATTTGTTGCTTACAAGGGTGTTTTTTGCTGTTTGAATTATGGGGAAAATACTAATGATTCTATTTTAACATTGTACTTTTAGCTTTGTGTCATTACAGGCTTTTTTTAAAATAAAACATAAAGGCTCTAAATGATGTTTCATGTAATATTACAGGATTGCACACAGCTCTATAAGGGTTTTATCCTGTTTGTGATATTGGTGTAAAACAGATTTGAAAATTTTTCTTTGTAAAGTCGTCTTGTTGACTTATGAGTACAGTAGGTGGTACTGTTGCCATTTAATGGAGACAGGTCACAGACTGGTAATGCAGATAAAGTTATGGTATGTAGTAAGTGAATGAATATGCTTGATATATATATAGTGTATACTGTTTTGTTTAATCTTAATTCTTTTTCATTTAAAAGATGTTGGGTTCAGGTATTTTTTTCTTTTTTAGCTGCATTCTAGTTGTTTTTTTTGCTAGTTTTGTCACATGTTGCAGTAGGAATTAAATAAGGTGAATTTAGCATATCCTTTTTTATGGTTTATTTTGTCATTTATAGTATATATTTTCCTCTTTTATTAACTAAAGCCACAATAAGATCCATGGGTTAATCTGCTTGTTTTTATGCAGTGCTGGAAATGTACAGCAAACTAAAAGAACAGATGAATGTAAAAAGGTGAGTGAACTTATTTCTGTGAGTAAAATATAATATTTGTAAGTAAACTGATAGAGTAGCAAACCCTGATGTAGACAAGTAAGTATTCCAAATCCTATAGTTTGGTATGTGTAGTCCTCTTTTCATAATACCTTGTCTGTGTTTCAAGCACGTCACTGCAAGTGAACAAACGTTATATTAATATAAAGATATTAATATAAAGACTTTAGGAGCTTAGTGATTGCCGTGAAAAATAATATTTACTTAAATAAGCATGACATGCAGTGAAATTGTGATTATAAAGTTTGAAATAAAGTGGGGTTTTTTTTTAATACTTAAAAAATACTTTTTTTTAATACTCTAGTAAGAGTCCCAGGGAGTAAAGATCTGTCAGAGTACATTAATACCTGATTAATCTATCAACATGTATTTAAATCAAATTCGTAATCCAAGAAAAAAGGGCATTTCACTCCATATACCTTTCTTTAGACCTATGTGGTATCTCTGTGCTAATCTTTTGTGTACATGGGACTATGTGAAGGAAGTGCAGAGAATGTGTTGTGGTTTGTTTGGGGTTTTTTTCTCTGTGACGAACTTGTTAAAAAAATTAAAATGATACTTAAAAATAAATTTCTAGAACAATGGTTTCGAACTGGTACGTGACCAGTTGCCCTTTCTCTGTTGTGTCTTCACTATCTATCTTCTCAGAGAACCACTCACTGCTGCTGTAACCCCAGTATCCCCAGTTCTC